CACTATTTAATTTAATCATTTTAGGACCAAGATGAGTATTTTTCAGATAATTGATGAGCTCTCACTAAAATCACTGTAAATATGTTTGTAATTCCACCTTGCCACTAACTGCACAAGTTTTATAGGTTTCTCTTTCCCCATTTTATTAATCCATATCACATTTACTCTGCAGAAAAGAAATCTTATTTTGCTTAGAAATGATTTACATTTAAAGGATTTATCAATTATTAGCCTAGAAATGCTATTATATTTTTATATATTTCATAAATTATATAATCTTGTGCCAACTAATTATCGAACGTTTACCTAAAAATCTGTAATAGCAAAAGCAACAAATTCTTTTTATTTAAAAGAATATCAGAAAATTCCAGTTTAATTGTTTGAATGTTGGCAATTTCGTATGATGCCTTTCTCTTATAGATCAATTTTTAAAAATAACACTGAGAAATTCTTTACTTCAAGATATTCAGTACAATGTAATTTCCTTTTCAATATTCTCAAAGCATGGTGTGAATATATATTACGCAATTGAAAATTTTCTAAATAAATGTGAGGAAATTTCTTATCCATCATTCGCAGCAAATTCTTTAAGTTAATTTCATTCATAAATGATGGGCAGTCATTATGGTTTAATTCCTTATTTCACAGAATGTGAAATAGTTATATTACTGTGACAAAGGTGCCTAAAACTATGATAATTGTCACAACAGTCTTATGCATTGACTAATGAAGAGTTTTTAACAATGGAAATATATCAACACATAATTTGTATGAATTGCTTGTACAATGAACATTATTTGGATCTGAGTAGCAAAAGTGATTACAACTGTGTGGTGTAATGCTAGCTTGCTTTCTGACAGTAGTCTGCTTCATTGTATGCGTTATCATGCTGTCGGAGAGAGCTGAGGATACTGACTGAGTCTCCCTGGTGGGTTTACTGACTGAACATCAAGCTCTCCTTCAGCCTCTGTAGACCAGACACATTGCACAAATGTAGACAGAGGGCAAATGAGCAGTAATTGATGAGAATAAAGATGTTTTGCCAGACAGAGATAGTACCCCTACAGAGAAATGAGGCATTTACAAATAAAACATGGACTAGACAAGATAGACGCCCCACTTTGCCATGAATTCTGCAACAAAAATTTAAATTGGGCCACTAACTGTGTACAGAACACTTTGAAATGAAAAATAAAGAAGACAAAAACATGAAACAACACTGCACAGGGACTAACAAAATGTAGTACAGCAACATTGATTGTTAGTATCCGAGGAGCCGTTTGCTTTTATCCCAAAGACTTTACATGCATAGCTTTACACGGGCTATCGGTTGAGAAGATATCTGTCATTAGCAAACCCCCCACAACCTACCACCCCTCTCCACCTACCCAGCCCCCACTGCCCATATTCACCAACAATGATCAGTGATCGCTCAGAAACGAAACAATTCCTGAAATGCCTGCTCACCCCCCAACTTTTAGTTAAACAAATGTTGGACTTGTTCGCATGGTGCAGAGTCTGTGTTCAAGAGCCATTCATTATGTACAAGAGTACACAAAGTTTTTCTTCCATGTTACAGTGAAAGTAGCAAGTTGAATGTGAATGAACGTGTGAAAGGTCAAACAAAATCTTAAGATGTCATTAGATCAAAACAAATACTTTAAGATTTTCTAAATTTTTAAAACTTTAATTGTTTCTTTCTCATTTAGTTTTATTTATTCAAAGCCTACTTTTCTTAGGTCAAGGTTATTTTCACTTCCTAATAATTTGTTGATGGTTTTATTTATTTCTTTTGTGACTTCCTAAGCTGTACTGATACATTAAAGACACATATTCCACTAAACTATGAAAATACAAAAAAAATCAAAATTAAACAGGAAATTCGTTATAATCTAATAACCACGAGCTTCTTTTCTCTTTAAGAGATTTGTTCAAGCCTAGAATCTTACACAATACAAACTGTTTCAAACACATGGAAATTCTGATTCTTGGCATTTGCCTGGGAACACATTGCTAATCAGTACACATTGCATTTAAAACAGGCAATTTTTTAAAAAAAAAACAGGCAAGGTCTAAACTTTTTAAAATAACAGGGAACTAGAAATCTGTATCATTTTGCCATGGACTGAGATTTTTTTTGAAGAAAATTTTCAAAGTTTTTATTGGTGCCTTTATTTTGAGCAACGGTATTTAAAAGAGGAGAAATGCTATGCTGCAACTGAGCAGGTACTCCCTTGGCAGCAGTCGTGTTACAGATTTTTTGGGAAGAAAAAAAGAAAGGAAATCGATGGTACTTTGAATAGAGGTCGTCAGGGTTGTTGCTCAAGGAAAGTGACAGATCTGTGTAGTAAGCCTCTGGCAGCCCCCAAAAATTCCATACATATTACCATTTAGCTGCAATATTTCAGACGACAGCGTCCATAATGAAACACCACTTTGAAAATCATCTATTTATCCTGTACAGTTGTACATTGCCATCAGTGTTAACAAAAAGTAAGTAGACAGAGCAATAAATACTAATCCATAGGCAGTCGAATAGATAAAACTAAAAATGTACAGATTGCTAACTAAAAACAAATTCTAATACCAAAATATATTTTTCAAAACAAATAGAAATTGAAGGAAGAATTTCAACAAACGATCCACACTAAGCATCCATGTGCTGTAGCGGCTCTTAAAGTCTAAACTTATGCCAAACAAAATGCCAATAATATTAACCACTCCCCAAAACAAATTGGGTAAGTAAAGGAATGTCTGGTTATATTTCACTTCCAATTTCAATTGCTGTTTATATCTCTGAGATGCTGGAGAATTCAAGCTTTAGTTAAGTTACTTGTAATAAATCAGGCTTGTACATTTTAACACGAATTTTTTAATCATCCACAAAATAGACATGTTTAGCCTCTCATCTTGGTTGAGAGATGAAAAGAATTCCTAAAACTGAAGCAGATGGCTTGGAATATCAAAGTAGAGGCTTAATGCTGCTTTTATATGAAACAACCACTATGGGTGTGTATTTGGCAGGATACACTTTGCAGATGTCAAGTAAGTCAGCATCTATAAAATCAGTTTTAAAATAATGTACTGCTTTTAGATTAAAGTGAACTAGGAGCTATTATAACCAATTCCTCTACTAACATTTTTTTCTTGAGCATTCTTATTTGCAGTCATCTAAAGCTGCCAATGCATATTTATCTGCTTAAAAGATATCCTTAATCCAGCTGCATGCAATTTAACACAGAGCATAGGATGAGGCCATTTTTAAAAAAAACTGTGTCAACTCACACCTCAGCCTTATAACAAATGGCAGAGTGTAAAAGGCCAATTGTCCTTTCCCTTATCTCCTTCGCACCTCAACATTCATTCCAACAACCCTCAAATCCTTTTTGCTACACCACAGGCTTAAAGACGGGGCTGTATAATACCGGCTCTCAGCAAGTGCTCAAAGCCGATCCACTACTGCCTTCTTCCTCTCAATTTTTCCATATTAGTGGCTGTCATTACCATAAGAAGAGGTAGAGGAAAAGAGGGGAGGGAAGCACTTAAAGAAATGTGAAAGGGATGCTAGCTGAAAACCAGTGGGGAGAACTGAAAAAGATCAGCCTTTTCACATCTGGTTAAGTAGTGCAAAACACCCTGATGGCCATATGATTATCAAGAACACTTATGCCAAAGTTTATTTGCTGCAAAAGAAAAGAATATTACCATATATTTCAATCTGTGCCACTTCCCGCATCATTTGCTATCCCAGATGCCCTTGCTCGAACTTGTTTGCCCAATAAATCAAAAGAAATTTATGAAAAAGAAAAGCAACCAGGTTAGTCCTGTCAGGAAGGAAGCAAAGACATCCATGTTTTGTTGTTTTAAGGATTTTTTTTCTTAACTACTCAGGAAGGAAGATAGGGGCCTGGATTCTGATTCAATGCGTGTAGATTAATCACTCATTCTTTAGTATAATATAGACCTTTTGAGTTACTCACTACAATCTAAACTTTTACAATTATTTATGCAATAATTTGTTATTTCGTCAATCTCTCCAACAACCTTATGATTTAATTGCTTGTAACTCACCTTGTTCTACTTTCCTTTCACTTTCTGCCAGTCTATTACAATTCTATTATTATTCTCACTTTTTCTCTCATTTGCCTTGTCGCCTCTTACTCTTTCTTCAACCAAAACAAACAGTAACAAAAGTCAGTAGCTTCCCACAGCTGAAGCTTGTTAACTTATCACCCATTATCACCTCATCCTCTAAGTACCACCTTTCTTCTCAGACTGCTGATGAGCCCTCACAAAATTTTAGGTTTGCAATTTAACTCAACAAATATCACAAAACAGCTGCAGTGAATTGGTTTCCTCTCAGTTACAAGGCCTTTTTCTCCTCGGAGTTATTCAGATTGCAAGGTGGGGTGAGTGAAAATTGTCAATGATAACAAATCTTTTTCTTTAACTGAACACTAAAACCATCAGTTGCACCGAGAAAATGTAATCATTACTTAACTCCTTCAGAGAATTTTAATCATTGGAAGATGAAATTCCATTTGTTTTACTTAGTTTTATCTTAAACTGTAAGGCATTGGAATAAAGCTGTACTTTCAAGCAAACAAATATCTGCATCTGAAGAATGCATAAGCCGAATGAAATTAAAGCATACAAGATGAAACATAACAGGTAGTCAACTGTAATTGTTGCCCATATATTTCAACTTCTGATTTCATTGAAAACAAAGACAACTATTCTAAAAGTTTTGGTAGCTTGAACTTTTAACTTCACTATATATTATTAATATTCAATACTAGGTTAGTTCAAATGTAAGGTAAACTTAGCAAACACAGCCAACACACTAAGACATGAAAATATTCATGATAGTCTAAATATTGTGAAATGTGCTCTGCTTTTTGGTAACAAAGTCACAAGTTTTAGTTACGTGCTGAAAATTTCAATTTGAACAATAAAAAGGGCCCAAAATAATTAAAATATGTAAAAGAAAAAATACTTACATCTCTCATTTCGATTTTCTTCAGGGCTTGCCGAGTTCTCCCGGTCAGAGATGAGACCTGACACAGCAAAGACCTTTTTTCCAGTGTCATCTAGCTTCAGTGAACTGGGGGAACTGGATGGGAGCTGGGTTGTGAACTCGTACTCCTTGCCCTCAGAGTCCGAAAACCTCAGATGAGGGGATTCGGTTTCATGGCAGTTCTTCAGTCTTTTGGCAGGTGTAAAGGCTGACTGGTAACTGTCTCTGTCTTCAGCAGAGGCAAAAGGTCGAAATGCCCCAACACCACTATGGTTCAGCATGCTGATTGGGGTACAGTCCAGATTTGGAGGTGCAAATTGATGATGCAGGTGCAAAAGTTGAGGGGGAAAGTCTCGGTTCGGGAAAGCCCCTGGCACCCCGCCCTGACGGTGGTACATTGAGGCAAAGGTATAGGAGCCATTAGTAAAGGGAATATGGACATCTTTGTCCACAGAGACAGGTACTCCAAAGGGTCTAGGCTGCTGACAGGAGATGGAGGCATCTCGACTGGCCTCTGCAGTCGACGCCAGGACCATCAAAGCTGGAGATGCAAGGGGGTTAGGAAGGTATGAAGAATTCTCCATCTTGAAAGCTGTTCTGTGCAAGTCCATTGGAAACTCTTTGCTCACTGGTACCAGAATTATATAATGACCTTCTCAAATGCAGGCAAGGCTGGCTTTATAAAGAGCAAGGTGACATCATTACTATCACAGCTTGATAGATCCTGTATTAATAAAGAGAACAAAATAAATATTCACATACACACACTCTCTCCTCTTTATATATACACCATGTATATACCCCATTACAAGCATTCTGACTCTTGTATAGATTAGGTACTATTTGACCACAGTAATTATGAAAATCTATACTTAATACACTCTGGTGTCAAAGTGTCACGAGCTTAAAGACTGACCCCAAATAACAGAACCTCTAAAGCCCTGTGATCAAAAATGCATTTATTGCTCTGAAATCACAAGAGGTGGCTACTGATTAAAGGTTTTTCTTGCTCCCAAAGTCCCGCTCACCAAAATATGAAAGTAGTCGCTTTTTAGGTTTTCCTTTTTATACAAATATTTTGAATTTTAATTTGCCACATGGTTAAAACTAAAGATTAAAATAACTTAACAGTATTGATTTACGCGGTAGAATTGACATTAATTTTAGTTCAGTTATCACTTTGCAAAGCGATCAATAGTAACTAATAACGAATGACAGCGCTGGTAAAAAGGAGAGAAAGCAGGACTCCAGCCAAAAATCGAAATGTACCGACACTAAATCATCTCATACTTTTTCAGTCGTCAGGCATCAAGACACTGAAAAACCCAGTTGCTACTTGTGTTACAACTATCAAGATTAATAATATCCAGTGCCAGATAATTCATTGCAACTTTGAAACTGAGGCCAATTAAACAGCTAATTTAGTGATACTTAGAAGCGATCACCAAGAAATAGACAATATCACGAAAAGCTAAGCAGTTATGCCATATGGAATTAACAATAGCATAGATAGCACTATATGGATGTATATAAGGTAAGTGAATACAATTTGCACGTTCAGTTCAGCATAGCGTAATTTATTATAAATAAAGCATTAAATAGTTAAACCGGCAGGGTATAATGCAAGCAATGGACTCAAACTGGCTGAACTAAACTACTTTTACTCTAGTATGATTTTTTTTATTGCAAGGTGCACGCACCAACACATACGGACCGTGAAGCATGTAAACAATGACTTCCGCGCAAAGTTGGAGACAACACATCACAGACACGTTTGTGCATTACTGTACTTACTTTAATTCCAAGGATGCTTTCACTTTTTATAACAGAACACATACGCACGAAAATAAAAGGATTTATCTCTTTTGGCAAAACTCTCCCTTAGTGTATAAGGACTGTGGAGTTGAAGTCTGGAAATACAGTGCGTGTATGTGAATGAAGTCTGCTGTTGGAAGATCGTGTTGATTACATGCACAGAGGGATCCCTATCCTGAGTCCGATCAGAGGAGGAATGTTGCGTTGCTGCTGCTCCGCTTGGCTCAGTGTGCCTGTGTGTATGTGTGTGTGTATGTGTGTGTGTGTGTGTGTATGTGTCAATTTCAGAACTCACTCACCGGGACAGCAATATAACAGCACAGCCTCAGCCAGCCTACTGCGCAGCCGCATTGTCCTCATATTGGCACCTGGGAATTGTAGTTCTCACTCATCGCTTTATCTCCCGCTTTTCCCTTCTCTACTCTTCTTTGCTATTTCTATCTTTGCATTTCTTAATTGTTTAGCAACATACATTCAATTCTCCCCTTATTTATGCTGTTTCCGCTTCATAGAATTAATTCTTCCCTTTTCATTTGACGTGTAGAGTTTATGTTCCAATCTCTTTTGGATTTGCTTAAAAATTCTGTCATTCTACTATTCTTTCTTTCTTTCAATTATCCCTCAGTTTAACATTTCCTATTTTAGATTTTTAACTTGTTAAATTGTTAACTCCTAAGTCCCTCTGCGTGATGTGTATTTATCTTTATTTCATAGTCTTGTTTTACATAGTTTTTCTCAATTTCCTCGCGTTGCTTGTTTCTTTCTCATTCGAGTGAGTTTTTCTCTTCTTACCCTCTGGCATTTCCTTTCTTTTCATTTGCATTGTTTTCCTGTTTGACAATATATAATGATTCTTGTCTTTTTATACTTCTCTTTTTTAACACCTCTTTTTCAATTTGGACCGGCCGACTTTCTAACCTTTTGCTTGGTCTGTTTCTGGTCTATGGTTATTTTTCCCTCGTTTCTGTATAGCCTTTTCAATTCCTTTATCGCAAGTGCAGATTTTCCATGTCAAGTGTTTTTTTCCTCCTTGTCTCAACTTCACATCTCCGGATTTCTGTTTTCCCCCTTTCCTTCCCTGGTGTGCTCTCAGTGCATTCATGCATCTGATTTTGAACATTTTCGGCTCTATCTAATTTCGTATTGCCTAGACTACTCTGTTTCAGTAACTTTCTGTCTTATGCCCCCTATGCTTCATTTGCCTGGAATTCATTGTTTATTCCTTACTATCCTATTCCGACCCTAAGTTTCTACACAGCTATTTCCACTCGTCATTCTTCCATAATTTCTTACTGTCTTTGTTGCACAGGATCCTCTCCTGCTAACTGCAATAATTGAGCCAACTGAATATTGTAGATTGAGAAGGTGTGAAGAGGAAGACATCAGCAATAAAACTAGTTAAAAATTACTTCAGAAGTTCAGTCATCAAAGTTATTTCCCTAAATTCCATACAGATTCCCGAGTGAAAGAAGGCAGGACCTGAAACAACATGGGAGGCATCATTTCCAAAATCAATCAACTAATTGTACAAAAATACAAAAGTAAAATAAAGTCATACTGAGATTGATAAATTTACACTGTGGGTGTATCTATTAATGTTGCACTAACCCTTTTGATGGCCTACATAAGCCTGTATTTCATCAAGCACCAAAAATCAATACCTAACATTATTAATTATCTCAGTTTCTCATTGAACATGAACAACTTAACAGTACCAAGGAGTTCAGATAAAGAGCTAGCTGACAGTACAAATATATTACAGGACACAACAAAATATACACTTAGATTTAACCCAACCAATTAAAAAAAATCGATGCATAAGCTAGCAGTCACAAAAAGGAAAAATAATGTCACCCCTTTAGAATCCAGATAATTCCGTGTCATTGTCATCGCGTAAAAGGTGGTGGTACATTTTCATATTTTAGTTATTTATAGGTGAATTGCAACCCATTATCAGAAAATTATATTGTAAAGGATTCAATCAACATTTTGGAAAATAAGTGATAAATAACTTCAATAATACGGCTACAGTTCACTTCAGTCCAACTTACAACATTATCAATAATTGTATAAATAATTTATACTGATAAAGGCTAACTTTTTCGGACTGGATATGGTGACAGCTTATAAAATCGCCAAACAACTTTGACATTAATTGAAATCTTATTTGAAGTGCTGGTGTAAATGGCAAGAAATGTATTTACAAGTTCATCATATCTTACTGTAAATCGGAATGCAATACCTTGCAGTTCACCATGTCTGTGCGCCTGTTAAACGGGACGTGAGTAATAAAACTACAACTCCCAGAGCTCTGAGCACAAAAAAATCTCAGCTTCTGGAAAGACATTAAAACGCAAGGCGTTCCGCATCTGTAGTCTTTTCAATTAACGTGCAACTTGATGCACTTGTACCATCCCATTTACAACAGACTGAGTGAGCGCGCTGGTGACGGGTTACGATTTATTGTTGACAGTTGCGAAGTGGGGTGCTTTTTTTATTTCATAACACTAACTATTGTTGGTCTGAAGCTGACAAAGATTTCGTCATCGCCTTAAAAGTTACATTGAACTCCCGAATCATATTGTTTAAATGGACAAACTACCCACGTGTTAATAACGACAAAAAAACTATTTCAACTGTCAACAAAAGAATGACACTAATAGATAGGTTTGATTAAACTGGTCACGAACACTCGGTGCCAGTTTCTGAGTTGTGAAGTTATGCGTGCCTTTAAGTAAATTGGGAAGTTGGAACTACAACTCCCAGAGTAAGGGCCAGGTTCGGTTCGGTTCGGTTCGGCTCGGCTCAGCCCCACCTGACCTGACCTGACCCGGCCTGTGCCATCCCGAACTCCCGAACAACCACTCCGCCATCTTTACCCGCTCAACCAAACCTGCTGGCGAGCGTTTGAAAAGCACGAGCCCGTGGCGTTTCCCACAAACCCCGCCTCCAACAGGTCTTATTGGTTGTAACCCCGTCCGTCCAGCGTTAGCCTGGGCTCCTATTGGCCTTGGGAGATGTCAATTCTGAGTCGGGTCAAAGGCGGGTTTCGGCAAGCAGGATAGGGTGAGTAAGGCTGTTCGCCGCCTTGAGTTTATTGACGGTTTGGTTTTTAACCTGAGGAAATCCGAGGCGTTTGTGTTATCTCTGGCCATGGGGCTAAACAACGGCCTGTGTGTGTTGGTCAAAAAATGCGGAGGCTTCTGTTGCAGTAGTAAACTTGCGACTTGACTTGTTCCGAGGCACTTTCTCTGTGCTGAGGCCCTCATGGTGTAGCAGTTCTAATAGTTATGAATGTTTTGTCAGTTACACGTTTTCCTGGCTATTCATTGAAATTGACTTTTTGATACAGTGTCATCTCATGATAAATTGCCTTTGGTAAGAGCAATTCCCCATTAGCAAGCTGCCGCTTGTGGATAGGGACATGCTGCTGGATTTATCTATTCCTATGAAACGAAAGTAACACTTCTAAAGCAATAAATTTCAAGAGCTTATAATTTAATGTAATCAGCTATAGTCCACAGGAACTATAGGTATCTCTTTATTGGGGAGATGGAAGTGTTCATACAAGGGCCAACCCTTATTAAACGTGGTGCAAGGCAAACAGATATGTCTCCACGAACTAGCACAACCGGTACGTGGCTTGAACCCACGCCGTCGGTATCACTGAGCCAACTGACTCTCTGACTTATAATTTAGCGATAAAATTAATAAATCATTCAATGTTCAAACGAGATGTGTCCATGCTTTGTGGGCAAAGGGGATAGTTTGATATCCCCTATTACAGTGGAAAACGCCAAGTTGTATTTTTCCTTGGGAATTCCAACTTCCTTTCAAGTGGCAGGGGTATTCTTAATGATGAAAAGTGTACTTCAAGTTTAGAGAAACAAATGTTTAAAAATTATCCTTTTTTCTAGAGTCATTTATCATGGCTAGATTAGTCAGCAAAGGTAATGCTGATCAGGCACAGCAGTAACTTTTGTGTCATTTGTAAATTTGTGTGTTGGGATTTTTCTTGCACAATTGTCATTGAACTTGAGTTGAGGTTTGTTATCATTTCTGAACTGAGCTTTGTTTGAGTATAGGAGTTGGGCGGTCATGTTGCAGCTGTATAGGATGTTATATCGGTCACTTTTGGAATACTGTGTTCAATTCTGGTCTCCCTGCTAAAAGAAAGATGTTGTGAAACTTGAAAGTGTTCAGAAAAGACTTACAAGGATTTGCCAAGATTGAAGGATTTGAGCTATAGGGACAGGCTGAAAGGCTGGGGCTATTTTCCCTGGAGTGTTGGAGGTTGAGGGGGTTACCTTTTATAGAGGTTTATAAAATTGAGGGGCATGGATACGGTGAACAAAGTCTTTTTCCCCAGCGTGGGCTAGTGCAAAATTAGAGAGCATGGGTTTAAGATAAGAGGGGAAAGATTTAAAAGGGACTTCAGGGGCATCTTTTTCACACAGAGGGTTGTGCCTGAATGGAATGAACTGCCAGAGGAGGTGATGGAGGCTGGTACAATTACAACATTTAAAAGGCATCTGGATGGGTACATGAATAGGAAGGGTTTAGAGGGATATGGGCCAAATACAGGCAAAAAGGGTCTAGACTAATGTAGAGATAGTAAGAACTGCTGATGCTGGAGTCAGAGATAACACAATGTGGAGCTGCAGGAACACAGCAGGTCAGACAGCATCAGAGGAGCAGGAAAGCTGACGTTTTGAGTCGGGACCCTTCTTCAGAAGACCCGACCTGAAATGCTTGACTAATGTAGAATATCTGGTCGGCATGGAGGAGTTGTACCTAAGGGTCTGCTTCTGTGCCGTACATCTCTATGACTTGATGTTCCAGTATATTATGATTTGCCTTGGTAATTTTTAACTCTTATCATGTGAAATAGTGAATTGAAATAATTTCTACATAATACATAAGACAAGAAATTGAACTCTTTCTCACAACATGTATGACCTAAGCTCCATCACACAATTTGTTCTATTAATGAATGGTGCCCAGAATTAAATATTATAATTGATTGATTGTCTTTTTTTATTTGTTTTCTGTGACTTTATTTTGTTTTTAATAACTATTGTTGAAAAGGCTTGTTAAAGCAGTTATTGTCAAAATTGCAATGAAAAACTCAAATGTAAACATTTTTATAGTTCTAGAACAGTTCACCATTATATGCTGTATTTGTGAATCAATGGAATTGCTCTGAACTTAATTTGCAAAACATATGGCATTTCCCCAGTTATTTACAGTTTCTAATGTCCACGGTTTTAAACAAAAATCTGATATGGACTTTATTTATATGTGGAACTATCTTGTTTGCCTTTTAATACTTTCACTGAAGTTTTTAAACAAAGTCTTCAATCTATTTGAAATCTTGGATTTTGCCTGCATATTTCTATATCACAACAGTTTTTCAATAATGTTCATGAGTACTGAGCATATATAATTTTGAGAAATTCCCAGTATAGAATCCGTCTACAATCCATCAACCCGATTAATGCAGAACGGTGTGACGCTTACTTGAGGGGTATTTAAGAGTTTCCTTGCTTATTCCAAAATGTTTTAAAACAAGCTAATGGTTAACATTTTGAGTTTATAGTTCAGGAAATTATGTCTTTTTATTGCTTTTAAATTCTCAACTGTTCACAGGCACTACACCTGATCAGAAAAGATGTGTTTTCTTTTTTGACTGTAAAAGAAAAAACTGAATATGTACATCTCCTTTTCATTTTTATTAAAAGAGTTGAACCATTTTGAGGCTGAATGGTTTTCAAACATTACTTGCAAACAAAGCTTTTGAAAATGTGAAAGAAGAATTTTGTTTAAAAACTGAAAACTCACTAATAGTACGTTATCTGGATGTGAATATATGAGGCATGGTTAGTAAGTTTGCAGGTGACCCCAAAATTGTTGGTGTAGTGGACAGTGAAGAAGGTTATCTAAGATTTTAAAAAAAGGATCTTGATCAAATGGGCCAATGGGCTGAGGAGTGGCAGATGGCATTTAATTTAGATAAATTTGAGGTATTGCATTTTGGTAAGACAAACCAGGGCAGCACTTATACAGTTTAAGGTAGGGACCCTGGGAGAGTTGATGAACAAAGAGACCTCGGGGTGCAGGTGCATAGTTCCTTGAAAGTCAAGTCGCAGGTAGACAGGGTGGTGAAGATGATGTTTGGCATGCTTGCCTTCATTTGTCAGTGCCTTGAGTTTAGGAGTTTGGGAGGTCATGTTGCAGCTGTACAGGGCAAAATTTTTAAAATACTGTGTTCGGTTCTGGTCTCCCCGCTATAGGAAAGATGTTGTTAAATTTGAAATGTTTCAGAGAAGATTTACAACGATGTTGGAGGGTTTGAGCTCGTAGGCTGGGGCTTTTATCCCTGGAACGTTGGAGGCTAAGGGTGACCTTTTTAGAGGTTTATAAAATCATAAATAGGGTGAATAGCCAAGGTCTTTTTCCCTTGGTAGGGGAGTCCAGACTAGAGGGCATAGATTTAAGATGAGAGGGGAAAGATTTGAAATGGACCTAAGTGGCAACTTTTTTACGCAGAGGGTGATTCGTGTATGGAACAAGCTGCCAGAGGAAGTGGCGGAGGCGGGTATAATTACAGCATTTAAAAGGCATCTGGATGGGTGTATGAATAGGAAGGGTTTAGAAGGATAGGGGCCACACGTCGGCAAATGGGACTAGGTCAGATTAGGATATCTGCTTGGCATGGACAGGTTGGACCAGAGGGTCTCTTTCCATGGTATATAACTCTGTGACTCTTTGAATAATTAACTTTTGTGTTTTGGTGCTCTTGTCTATGTTAAAGAAGTTGTACAGTACCCCAGAACATTTAACTTAAGATGGTTTAGGTGTGGAAAGTAAAGATGGGAAAATACTATATTTTTATATTGAATACGTGACCATAAATGATTCAATTCTGTTCAATACTTGCTATTATGAAGGAAGGAAAAGGCAATATCCACTTACTCAATGGGGCAAATTATAATTTGGGTCTAATTTTCCTTGATGAATTTTTCCCTCCTTGCTCAAAAAAACCCTTCCATTTTCCCAGACTGTGTCTATTATCAAACCTCTCAACCCAAATTTTGCAAAAATTCCTCCTCCACTCCCTTCCCACCTCCTGAGATCCAGAATCCTCCTCATTTCAGCGTACAAATCCAGGGAGTTCCTGTCAATCCTCACAATCCTCTCAATCACATTCCTTGTGCTTTCTGATCCTAAAAGGCATCTTCTGCATTGCTACTACATCCTGAGACTCCCATCCCTAATGATCTCAAGTTTGCGTCTCCAGTGATTCAGGACCTATTTCCAAATGACTGGACGTTTGGACCCCCTAGAATATTGATACTCTAATACAGGAAAAGGCCCCAATACTTTCCAGGTCAGCATGAAGTTCTAAGGTCTCTGTTCCTGAAAGTAATATTTGTCATAAAGCCATCTTCATTAAACTGTCCAATCCCCCAAGAATAATGGAATGGGAGATCTCATAACATATTAAAAATCTTGCAAGAAGTACACACATTAATATTAGTTATTTTGTGTAGTTTGCTTCATTATTTATAAGGTCTGTTATAACATGTTATATCTACCAATCACTATGAGAAATAGCATGAAAAGATTTGCTAGTGCGCATACAAAAAATTAGTGGACTGGAAGAGGCATGAACTTAGGTTGCTTTTGTCAGGTTGGTTTCAACACATTTTTGGATATCTTTTTATGTATTCAAGTACTTATCAGATATCTTTTTGACTGCTGTAATTGAATTTATATTGATCAGCACTTGTGGAAAAGCGTTCTCGATTCTAATAACCCTTTACATAAGAAGGTTTATCTCAATCTGTTCTTTAGCGTATTCAAGGCTCATTTTGAAATTACGACCTCTAGTATTTGATCTATGTGCTGTTGGAAGTTATCATATTTATTTATATTCATCATTATATTTTCTACTCCTATTACTTGAATACTTTAATGCAATCTGTCTTTATCTACACAATTTGAGAGACAACAATCCTATTCACTCTAATTGTTCCTTGTAACGTTCCAGGCAAATTGACATT